AATTAAGAGGTTGGTTGTTAAAGCATCCTTACTAGACAGATCATTAGAGTCGATTTCTTATAGAGTATTTGCAGGTGAGTCAGTAAGCAGATCATATATGCAGGTCCCATTGTCTCTTGGTTTAACAGTGACCCAAAAGGTAATAAAGTAATGTGGATCTGCACTTACTTTGCCTTCCACAAATGATCCCCTAGCATAATTAGTAGGGACAAGTTAAATTGATTTTCATTAGGCATCAGCAATCGGGACCTCAATGTCAATAAACCACTCGACAGACGGCTTTTACGTCTTTAATGATACGTGAATATAATTCAAAAAGGGAATATATCTTCCATTAGGTAAACAATTTACTAGTGTAAGCTTATCCAGTAAGGAAAACAAGAATTCTTCATTTTGTTTAGCCTCAAGAAGTTACGAATTGGAAATTGCGGAATCAGTGTTAGTACATTTAGAAAAGCCCGTTTCAAATCGTGTCATTAAACACAGGTCTTTCCCTTTAAACAATAAATCACCATAAAGAACCTTTCAAGATAAACTTAAGGGTTATGTTAACTTGCAATCTAAATTATTCAATCGATGGCTTAAACAGGTTTTGGTAAAGGGTTCTTAAACCCCCATCAATTACCTCCGGTCTCACAATGTGTGTGGTAATGATATATAGGCTTCTGAACTTTCTCAGGATATGAAGAATATGTTAATGCCAATTTCCCTGCTAACAGATTTTTAGCGTTATTTTCTCATCCTCATTTCCACAATTTCAGTATTGGGTGAATTAAAAAAAAATGACCACCAAACTGAAATTTTTTGGAAAAATTCAACTACTTCTAACATATTTTTCACTTATATCATCATATTGCACATGCATTCTAGTTTAAAATCCTGAAGTGGCAGTAGAATAGACAACTGGATTAAAAAGTTTCAGAATTTTCATTAGTAAAATTTCTTCTGAAAAAAGAAAATATCATTACACCTTAAAAGACTTTCTTAAATACATAATCACAAGAAATTATAGTTTTTTATGCTTCAAAATGGTAAAAGGGGTATAAATGATTAAATCTAGACCTTGATTATCTTCTCTTGTATATGTGACAAAAAATTGGCTTTTTGATTGTTATTTTACATTATTTTTTTCAATTCTGGTATGAAAAGTTTTAACATGAAAAAAATATAAAGAAATAAAATTCCCCAATTTTCTCTTTTTTTGTCCGTTCAAGCCAATCCTATAAATCTAAGCCAAAAAAGAATTTTTATATATGAGTTCTCTTACAAAAAATACTAAATTTTGAAGTGACCCTATGTTACATTATTGTGTTGCACTCCTGACATCTGATATGTATTTTATTTAACATTGTTTTAAAAATTATAACACACAATAACCCATTCTTACTTTGTAAATTAATTTATCGTTTTGATATTTTTTATCGTTTACGGCAGGTTTTTCATATATTGAAGACCTTGACACATGATTATTTGCAAAGTGTAATATATATAAATTGTATATAAAACTATATGTGAAATGATGAAAACTATTCCCTGAATTGACTAGAAAATTTCTGTAATTTGTGGATAGAGACAGTGTTTTGAACATCAAATAGTATCAAACATTTTTTTAAACTCATTTTCTAGTAAAGATAGTTGAAAAGCATTGGTAATTATAAAGCAGTTTTGTTGCACTCCTGACTGCAGCAAAATTTAAAATTAAAACCGTAGAACACAAAAATTCATAAAGTGTTGGCAACATCAAGTGGTAATGAAACTGTGCAATGTTTATTATAATAGTACAATACTTCATAATTAAAACAGATGAAAGTATTTAAAATTCGCATTTTATCTGGAATGATTCCCTATTTATGCAAAAAAAATTTAGCTTAAATGTATATTTAGAAGATAAAATATATTTTATAGCATATTTCCCTTTAGAGGACAAACACACTAACCCACCAGAAAAATTCTACTCATCATTTTTTCTTTATTTTTATTTTTATTGGATGATTTATAATTCTGGCATATTTGTTGCACTCCTGACCAAAAGCATTGGGACCTTTAAAGTAGAATTGTGAAGTGAAAATTACATAAGAACTTGTTCTGTTGTTTCAGTGAAGTTGAGGAGGAATTACTTGAATTTCATGACAATTTTTTAGTGTGTTTATTTTTAACATTCATTAAAAAAATCACAAAAAGATAAAAACACATCTGAATTGATAAAATTGAAAAAGGAAGGATTTTAAAAATAAAACTGTGAATAATTCAGTATTAAATTATACAAAAAGATCATTATTAATTAATGAATATGTCTTAGCATGAATAAAAGTGTTTTCGTCACACAACTTGAATCTTTAAAAAAATGTGTTGCACTCCGGACCATAGAAATATAGATCTGAAGCACAGACAGATCCAGTAATTGATAAATCTATTTGGTAAAAATGTTCTTTGTGTCTTTCTCTTCCAAAATAAAAATCAGAAAATCATATAATGATAATTGTTTTTTCATGCTTGGGAGCAAAACATCAAATGTTGCACTCCTGACATTATTGGGTATGCAGATATACTTGACTCTAATTAATGCTGCTTGTGATTTATATAACATTTTTAAGTTTTAAAATGTATATCAGTTATTGTTTTACACTTCGAAAATTCTTTTTTGTCTTAATTTCCTTTCAGAATTTTACAATTGATGTTTTTTTCGCAACACTACATTTTTTCTGTTGCACTCCTGACATGGTATAACATTTTTTTAAACATCAGCCATGACCACAACTTGATTAAACAAAAGTTACTATAGCGCATATTTAAAACTCAATACTTTGAATATTATCAGGAAAGCTTTTATTTTCAACATAAAGCATTATTATTTATTTCACAGATCTCCAAAAAATATTGAAATTTCAAAATGTCACAAAAAGTGTTGCACTCCTGACAATTTTAGCATCATTTTTGGGCATAACTTTTCTGTTAATTGAGATATCAACGAGATATTTGGCAGGTATTCAGACACTATCTAAAGACATATGTTGAGACATAGAAATCTATTTTCATTGCCTGCATTTTTATTGTGGGTTGATAAATATGCGTTTGGTCATTTTTTTTTTTAATTCACCCTATTCACAAAGGTGTTGTATACAGAATTCAGAATAATATAGTAATTTACAGCCTTTCATACCTTTTTTCTTGAATTGCTGAAAATCATAGGGATTCTATTAACAGCATTGTAACACATATCTGTAATTGCTGGAATACCGGTAGATCCCATATGGCAAGATTCTACATCAAAATGCATTTCATAGCATGCCCTTTAATTTATGATTAACACCTTCTCGGTTCTATAGTGAAAGAACAGTTATGCAGACATTATATAGGTTGCTTACCATTTGAAGCATTAGTTGCTCTGTAACAACTTTGAAATGGGTTATATTGTTTAAGTTTCGGGTACACCTTTTTGAATTACAAGTAATGTTAAAAATTGTAAACATTTTTGGAATAACTAGGTAATTCAAGTGATTCTTATTAATAATTTCTTATAAATTTTTCCACATGAAATTGTCCTCGTTTTAGCAAATATCTATTTGGATTATCATACGTGCTATTGCATTGCATCATTCATTTCTCCCCCAAAAATATTACCTTCTCAAGACTTTACCGTTACCCATCACTGAGACGATGTTGCACAACCGTCTTTAAGGTTCCTGAAATTATAGTACCACAACCACCTTTGTTACAAGCTTTGCAAATAATTTGTTTTAAATTGACAAACAACATCGATTTCGTGTCTGGCAGTTACGATACGGCACATTTTATGAGGACGATCCCTGTCCCACGCTTCCAATTGTGTATACTTTCGGTGCATAGATAACCCCTTTGTCACTCGCATATCAGTTCTCAATTTTTCTAAATCTATATAATTTGCAAGCATTGGTCTCAAGCACATTTTGTTTGGGCGCTTCCACTCATAGTAAATTCGGAAGTCTGTGTAAAACATTTTGAGGCGCTGCATTTTAATCGTCAACTTCCCTCACTACCAGTATTAAAATGATTACCTAGCATAAGGTGCGATCGCTCTGCAATCACTGATTGATCCTTGTCTGGATCATACAATTTAATTAAGCTGAAGATTATGAGATATTTTCGTTTGATGCCTCTTAGGAACAGTCTTCAAACCGATTAGATACGCAAGTGCATGCTCTGAGAACAATCAAATTTTAAACCAAGGCAGGCTACTGAAAAATAAGTAGATGTTACAGGAATTTTAACAACTATTTGTAAAAACAGCATATCATTGGGTCGTATTTTGTCCGACATTTGACTACGTATTACTCCATCTACCTGATCAATACAATGGACTCACAGCGGATGTTACTGGTCGACCGGGGATTCTTACACCTAGGCACCTGATCTCACCTTTAGTGTTTCCAGGGATCTGTGTTTTTGCTTTGCAATTTGTAATCTTTACTAAATTTATGAGAATGATTGCGGTTCGTTTTCTTCATCTTTAAAAAAAACGATATTTTGGTTAATTTTAAACATAGTTAATGCTGGTATATATTTTATAATAGCTAATATTTATTTTGTATCATTTATAGTTTAAAAGTTATCAAAAATATAATTTCCCTTTTTGTATATTTTATTTCCTTGTTTGTTTTGAATCTATCTGTTAATGTCGGATTAAAAACAGTTGGGAAATTGGAAGATTATATAATGTAACGTATGACATCATTTAAAAGATTTTTTTAATTCTGTGTGCCATTTTATTTGATAATTCCATACTGCAGTTGTATTTGCATTCAAATTTGTTTAAAATGAAAATATACAATCAAGAAAATAAAAAAAAATTACATTATGCAATTTTCTTGATGTGATAAAACCGCACAAATTACTCGAAGTTTCGTGTATTTAAACTAGGAATTAAAGCTTTCAACTGGGGTGCACTATATTCACTAACAAAGTCAAAAATTATGAGTCCCGAAAACTTTCACGGAATGCGGAGGCACAAAATGTTAACAAAATTAAAAGGAAGTAGTATTTGTATTTTCGGTGCTGTTGGCTATGTAAAGCGATTTGTTCTTAAACTTGCAGAAAGAAATCAACCTATCGAAAGAAAGAAAGTATACAAAAGGGTTTACGGCGTAGTTTGTAAGCAAGGCGACTGTTCCTATCTGGTAAAGAATATTTGTTATCCTCTCAGTAGAGACTAAAACTTTGTACTCTGTTAATAAAACTATTATATCGTTAATAACAAACGGCATTTGACCAAAAGCATATGTAATGCAAATGAGATAAACTTTAAAGGTCATCTCTGAAAATTGGCGCCTTTTAATCACTCTCAGGGAAATGTTTGGAAGCGTCCTCAATTTCATCAATTTAGAACAATGTAAGTAAACCAACATACCTATGATAATTAAAACGATGGGTACACCAATGAAAGCAAAATAATACATGACAAAGAGGAAATTGGGACATTGTTTGATAAAAGACAAAGCAACCGCGTAGGAAATTGTGATCAGGCTCATAACAAACAATATAACGAGCGAAGTTTTTAGTGCCCTTTTGCTAGTGTGAGAGCTATGGTAACGCAGAGGATTAATGATAAGAAAGTATCTTTCATATGCCAAAAGTACAAGGTTGCCACTGGACCACATGAAGGGAGTGAATGTCATCCAGAAAAACACAACGCAAAGGGGAATGTTAAAATAGAATTTGAACAGATTTGGGTAGAGCATAAACATTGAAATATACACCAAAGCACTAGACAAAGAGTCACTCAAAGCCACCAACAGGATACACATGTATGTTACTTCTTTATGCAAGCGTCTATAAAGTATGTGGACAAAGGTGGCGATATTTCCTCCAAGAGATATTGACGTCAGAAGTATGCACACGGACACTAGCCAGCAAGTACTGAATTCACTGATTGAGCAAAAGGCAACATTAACAGGAGGAGTAATGTTTAGAAGAGGATCGGATGTCCCTAGTACCATAGATGTGGAAGACTCCATGGTTTTTCCAATCTTCATTTAATCTACAAAGGAAATACGTACTTTATATATCAAAAATGACACATTTCAAAAGAATCTGAGATTAAACGGAATTTCTGAATCCCGAATTTTGTTTGTTTGTTTGTTTGTTTGTTTGTTATTTTTTGTTTTGTTTTGTTTTGTTTGTTTGTTTGTTTTTTTTTTTTTTTTTTTTTTTTTTTTTTTTTTTTTTTTATTTTTTGTTGTTGTTGTTTTTTTTTTGTTTTTTTTTTTGTTGTTGTTCTTTTTGATATGTGGAAATAATTTCAGATTAATTAGTGCATATTGAATGATTTTAGGTGACTCGTCTTAGATAATAATGAATACCGTATATAATATAGTAGTCTTCAGCATTCATTGAAGCAATTCTCAGAATATCTAAATGTAAATAGTATGTTTCACAATGCCAGAATTCAGCCTTTTAAAAATTATCTATTAATAATTAATATTATATTTATTTATCATTTTCACAATTGCATTCTTACTTTGCTACAAATGACTAATTTATCAACGTACTTTAAATACGTTTTGTCAGAGTATGCTAGTCATTCGAGTTTCTTTCTAAATTTTCATTGGACAATAGCTGTATTTATCTTAGCATTGCTCCTTCATCCCCAAAAATATAACTATATGTTTATGTGACAAAAGCTTTTATGGGTGAATTAAAAAATAATGACCACCATATTGGTTTTTTTTAAACTCAACTATTCATAACATATTTTTCACTTATATATATACTGTATATACTGATATATATTGTACATGCAATCTAGTTAAAATTCCTGAAGTAGCAATAGAATAGACAACTGGATAAAAAAAGTTTCAGATTTTATATTAGTAAAACTTTATTTGAAAAAAGAGATATCATTATATCCTACAGTACTTTCTAAAGTACATAATCAAAAGAAATTATAGTTTTTTATGCTTCAAAATTGTATCAGGGATATAAATAATTAGATCTAAACCTTGATTGAGGCCGTCACGGCAGCTCAGTCGGTAGAGAGCTAGCTCCGTGATCGAAAAGTCGTGTATTCGAATTACATCCGCGACTGACCTAAGACGATAAAAATAGGTAGCAACTATTCCTTCGCCAAGCGCTCGGCACTTTGAAGTGAGAGTTGCGGGTCCTTCGAATGAGACCTTAAAAACCGAGGCCCCGTGTCACAGTAGGAGTTGGCAAGATAAAGAACCCTCACTGCTCAATGGCAAAGAGTGCCGAGTGAAGACCCTTCACAGGTATATGATATATTGTCCTTATATGAGTAAAAAAATTCTGGAACGGGACGTGAAACAACATACAATCAATCAATCAATAAAACTTGATTGACTTTCTTCTCTTGTAGATGTGGTAAAAATTGCCTTTAAATTGTTATTTTAAATTATTTTTTCAATTCTTGTGTGAAAAGTTTTAATATGAAAGAAATGTGAAACAATAAAATTCCCCCCAATATCATTTTTTTTCCCATTCAAGTCAATTCTTTAAATCTAAGCCAAAAAAGAATTTTCATAGTTTTCTTACAAAAAATACTAAAGGTTAACCAATTTTACATTATTGCGTTTAAAAATATGTGTTAAGTGATGAAAATTATCCTCTGAAATGACTGTAAATTGTCTGTAATGAGTTGATAGACATATAATGTTTTGAACTTCAAATATTATCAAATTGTTTTTCAATTTTTTTTAGTAAAGATAGACGAAGATAATTGATAATTATAAAACAGTTTTGTAGCACTCCTGACTGCAGTAAAATTAAAAATTAAAACCATAGAGCACAAAAATTCATAAAGTGTTGGAAACATCAAGTGGTAACAGGAAACTATTTAAACTTGGCTTTATACATGTATCTTGAATTATTCCCTATCTTTGTAAAAAAAAAAAAAAAAAAAAAAAAAAAAAAAAAAAAAAAACCTAATTAAAATATATCTTTAAAAGATAAAATATATTTTACAGTATATTTTCTTTTACAGGACAATCACTGAAAGCAACTGAGGTCAACCAGAAACATTCTACTCATCATTTTTTCTTTATATTTATTCATACATGTATTTTATCATCAATAATTCTAACATATTTGTTGCACTCCTGACCAAGAGCATGGAAGGCTTAAAGTGGAATTGTGAAGCGAAAATTACATCAGAACTTGTTCTGTTGTTTCAGTGAGTTGAGGTGAAATTACTTGAATTTTATAACCATTTTTCAGTGCGTTTCTTACATTCATCAAAAATCAAAGAAAAGAGGAAAAAAATCTAAATTGATAAAGTTGAAAAAAGAAAAGGATTTTAATAAGAGAACTGTCTGTCAATAATTTAGTACTAAATAATTCTAATAGATCATTTTTAATTAAAGAATATTTCTTAACATGAATAGAAGTCTTTTCATCATATAACTTGAATCTTTAAAAAAAAAAATGTATTGCACTTCTGACCATAGAAATATAGATCTGAAACACAGACAGACCCTGAAATATCGATAAATCTATTTGGTAAAAATGTTCTTTGTGTCCTTATTTTCCAAAATAAAAACAAGAGAATTATATACTGATAAAAGTTTTTTTTTTCATGCTGGGGAGCAAAACACCAAATGTTGCACTCCTGACATTATGTGGTATGCACAGATACTTGACTCTCATTAATGGTGCTTGTGGTTAATATAACATTTTTAAGTTTTAAATTGTATATCAGTTGTTGTTTTACTTTGAAAATTCCTTTTTGACTTAATTGTCTTTCTTTTTTTTTTTTTTTGGCAACTGCATTTTTTTCTGTTGCACTCCTGACATTGTATAGCATTTAGCATTTTTTTTTTCAACATCAGCCATGACCACAACGTGGCCAAACTACAGTCTACATTTAAAGCTCGATACTCTGAATATCATCAGGAAAGTCTATTTCCAACATAAAACATAATTAATTATTTCACAGATCTGCAAAAGATATTGAATTTTCAAAATGTAACGAAAAACGTGTTGCACTTCTAACATTTAATCATCATTTTTGGGCATAACTTTTTTTGTTAATTGAGATATCAATGACATATTTGGCAGGTATTTAAACACTATCTAAAGACATATGCTGAGACATGGAAATTTATTCCCATTGCAGGGTTGTTCCCAAGACCCGGCAGTCGGGGAATTTCCCCGCATTTAATGACGATATCAATCGGTTATTCTGGTATTCCCACTCAACCCCCAGTTAGAGCTAGGAGGAACCACAAACCCTTCTCCTCTGCTACTTCAATTCTTAGGGACAACCCTGACATTGCCTGTATTTTTAGTGCAGGTTGATAAATATGTGTTTTGTCTTTTTTTTTTTTAATTCACGCTTATCATTGTTTCACTATAAGCCAAATCTAATATCATTTAGGAATGTTCAGCGTGTTCATATCTATATGTTCAAATAATAACCCTGCTATTTTGAAATTATTCTCTATATGAATACGAAACACAAAAAAAACTCCCTTCTGCGGACCTACCGTATGGCCCCGAAGACACAGACCGTGAGCTTAACAATTTCCTTGGAAAACATTTAAGACAGTAGCTTAAAATTGAATATACATGTATATTTGTTCATTATTCACCTAGGCTACTGCAGAGGAAATTTTCTCTATCCTTGAAGGTCATGAAAATAATAAATATAACAACAGAGACTTACATAAAGTCAAGATGTTCAGCTTCTTTCCTCTTTGGTGTAGACTACTCCTGGCTGCACTTCAGAAGAAAAGTTTTAATTTGGATAGAAATTTCAAACATTAGAACCACAATAAAACGGTGAGGATGCTATTGACGCAAACTATTTCATTGAAATCATATCCAAGAATATTGTGAAATTTATAAGCCATCAAATTCAAATAAAAACCTTCCGAATGACAAGGCTGATTTGGGTGCTAATATTTCACTCTATCAAATAGTTTTCATTTTCAAAATGCATAAGCATACCATACTTATCATCAATTATTAAATTCATCTTTACATTTTCTATGCGATCGATTTATGCTCATTGTATTTAAACTTTTGTTTCATGTCTTTGAAAAGCTTTAAAGCTTAGGTGAAGCAGGACCTAGATGCGATTTCTATTATTTGATGGATTCTCGTAAATATTATAGTATGAATGTTTTGTTGATACATTGATCAATAAAGAAACATTCTATCACATTAAGAAAATGAAAAGAGTTAATATGACTTTAGAACACAATGGTAAAACAGCAGAAAGTTTTCCTCCCAAATTAAGAGGAATTGTGACATTCTTCATCAAATAGTTTTTATTGTAAAGAGGTAAATCGTTATCACTTAAGTTAAATGTGTTGTAAACAGATTAGGCTAAATCATTTTATCTTTTATTTAGATCTTTAATATTGTCAAAATAATAAACATTAAATATGTATATCTATTTTAACATAAAGTATTTTTTCCTTACATGGGTTAATTTCACTCAACGTTTCGAGTAGCGGCTGATAAGCTTTAAACTTATATAAAGACATATAAAAAGACGATAGAGAGTTAACTCAACACTGAAGAAACTCGTGCATGGTGCAGGAAAGAATACTGAGTATGAAGCATTTAAAAAAACCCCCAAAAACTGAATAGTTAAAAGAAAAGAACATTAATAACAAACCAGAAGTCTCTGATGAGACTGTAGCTCTACTGGATTGAACTTATAACAAGGGAAGAGAAAAGTTGCACTTGGACTTGAAACTCTGCAAGAGCAATAAATAGAATAATAATCCTTGGTTGGTCTCTCTAGGAGTTATAGCAAACAGCATAAAACTATACGAGGAGTAGGCTTTAAAATTTTTTTACAGAAATTTCGATTTCAGTAACCATAGCAACATCATTCATCAAAATAAAAAAAAAAAAAAACAATGAAGGCAATTATGTATCTCAGTGTAGTCTACTTGCATGCGAAGTTATATTAAAATCAGACCAAATTGTAGGAAGAGAAGTGTTTTGAAAGTATTTCACAGAAATTTCTATTTTTAGTAACCATGGC